ATACGCTTTGGTCTCTGGTCATCTGGACATAATTTACTTGTAATAAAGTCCTTCCATTCTGTTGTTTAATTGTGCATTTCAGCGGGTCACTGAAGTTAAGTTATTACAATGAGTTGGAATGTACACATTTTGGGGCGCATATGTATTTTGTATAGTAGAGATTTGCTTTAAAGCTCTTCCAAGGATCACACATGGCGTTCCGAATCCGGACTTTTTCCACGGTGGAGCCAACAAAAACAGAAGGAGCGAAGAGAGACCCACACTGCCACTATATGAGACTTTTACACCGTTATAAACTCGCCGGTCCGGGTTCAAGATCGGTCTTAAAGGTGCACTATGTAACGTTTTGGTCGAGGGTCCGTCACCTGCTTGTTCCTATAGGTATGTCATTGCTCTGCTGGAATGTTCCACAGTATGACATTAGTTCACAACAGCTCTGCCTTACATTTATTCAATTACAAGTGGTTTTATAGCTCAAAGATATCTAGAAAAACAGACATTCTGACTGTGAGTGGGGTCACCTCTCCACAGATCTGACCTGCAGCTTGGTATGGTTTGGTCTCCATGAAGGTAGAAACGTTTAATGCCATACTGTGAAACATTCCAGACAAAAGAATACGTATTTGACAGACCCTCCACCAGAAAACAAATGCACCTTTAAATAAATATCTTTGGAGCATTTGACCTGTAACCAACTTGTGGCTTACACTAGGGCCTGAACAAATTAACTATTTGGATTAGATTTGTGGTTTATCTGTTAAATGTTACAAAATGTTACACAAAAGAGACTCTTGTGAACTTTAAGCCATGTTAGAATGTTGTTTCCTCATCAAAAAAATACCTCAAGTTGTATTTTGTTTCATTCGCACATGTTTGAGTAACTCTTTATTATTAGTCTGTCTACATCTCCAAAGCTCAAAATGTTCTGTTCCACCTTGTGATGTCATGAAGTGGCAGCGTTCATGTTAACAGCTCCTTTTTACCTTTAGTTCAATAGACAATTGGCAATTCCAGGTCTGAAATCATCCAAATAATTCTTGTGAAGGTGTACAGCATTTATAAACACAACGGAGCACTTTCTGTATTACAACATGACATCACAAGGTGGAACAGCGTATTTTCTGAGATCAAATGGGTTAAACATGTGTGAATGAAACAAAACACAACTCCGGACATGTTTTTAATGAGGAAACAACATTATAGACAGATCAGAAAGTAACTTAAAATAGTGTAGTACGGGCCCTTTAATAATAGGAATTGTTCAAAGTTCATATTTGAAATTCACTCAGAAGAATTGACAAAGAATGAAATATAAACTGACAAACTAAAACAAGAATCACATTACAATTACATTACTATAAATTGGGCCTGCAAGATTAATCACTCTTTTGACTGGATGCAATTAGCAAATCACAAAGGCTGCAGTTTTGAAAGCACCGTAATTTCCTTCACAAACAGAATCTTGTGTCTTATTCTGTATAAAACCTGCTAAATCTGTAGTTTAGATCTGTACAAACATGCTTTAAAATGTGATTCTTGTATTAGTTTGTCAGTCCATCATTTTCGCCTGTTTCTTAATTATTCTAGATATGTTTAAAATATGAACTTTGAACAGAATTCTATTATTTAAATCAAATTGCAGTGCTTGTCAGAAAAAACACAATTCAATATTCTACCACAACATGTAGTCCTATTATAAGCTAACAAATGACAAACCAGCTATTCTAAGCACATTGAACCTCTTTCTATTGTCTCTCCTCTCTCCAGCCTCTCTGCTCGTGACAACAGTGCAAAAAGTTCCAGAGTGTTCCTTTAAAGCTGCACTCTAAATTTCTGCTGAACGCTTCTCTTTGGTTCACAGTCATTTTGTTTATGTTATATCCAAAAAGTCCCAGAAACTTCACCTGACGCCGCAAAAATCGGCACAGGTCAAAATCACTTCAGTTTAATTTAGAATTTAGAATATTACATATGTTATTTTTAACTTATTTCAGTTCTGGTTTAGTCCTAGTCCTTGCTTAGTCTCTGGTTCAGTCCTGGTTCAGTCCTACTCCTTGCTTAGTCCTTGCTTAGTCCTTGCTTAGTCCTTGCTTAGTCCTTGCTTAGTCCTTGCTTAGTCCTTGGTTCAGTCCTGGTTCAGTCCTGGTTCAGTCCTGGTTCAGTCCTGGTTCAGTCCTGGTTCAGTCCTGGTTCAGTCTTAGTTCTTGCTTAGTTCTTGCTTAGTTCTTGCTTAGTTCTTGCTTAGTTCTTGCTTAGTTCTTTCTTAGTTCTTGCTTAGTTCTTGCTTAGTTCTTGCTTAGTTCTTGCTTAGTCCTTGGTTCAGTCCTGGTTCAGTCCTGGTTCAGTCCTGGTTCAGTCCTGGTAAAGTTCAGGTATAGACTAAACTAAACTCTGAACTAAACCAGGAGTATTCCCAGATTAATTACAGATCAAACCAAGATTTTTAGGACTAAACCAGGACTAAACCAAGACAAGCATGATCACAGCCTAATATTCAAGTCATTTCAGTTAATATCAGGAAGTTTCACGGCATTACTGGCACCTACGCTCTGGATTTCTGTGATTACTTCCTGATTGGACCTGAGAAGGACTAAAGTACAGACTTGTACTTATAAACTCCTCTTAGTGAATAGTTAGAAAGCTCAGAATTCTTACGGTAAGTGGACCTCTGCAAACCAAGGGATAATATTATGCTATTTTCTAATGTTATAGTATATTCTAATGTTATAATGTTGTTTCCTCATCACAAAGAGACATGGAGTTGTGTTTTGTTTCATTCACACATGCTTAATTAACACACAAACCCTGCATATTTAGGTCGAGTTCTTCTCTCGAACGAAAAAACACTGTTCCATCTTGTGATCATTTGGATAACCTCAGCCCTGGATTTGTCAATCTCTACTAAACTGAATTGAAAACTATTGAATTGTGACATGTCAAGGTGAAGCAGAGTATTTTGAGCCTGAAGACATTTTAAATTTTATCCATGCATGTATGCGTAATTTACCGCTCTCTCCCAAGGCCCTATTCAAGTCCTCTTTATGTTTAGCTATAAAATTCTGTCAAATGCTGTAGGCTTATATATCCTGGATTCATTACAATTACAATAAAAAGGTGCTGGAAAAACATGCTGGGACTTGACAGATAAGTATTGCAGTGAATTGGATAACAGTTTACATAAGAAACTTTCAGTATTTTTGCTTTGGCAGATATAACACAACTTTAATAACAACAGTAAAAGCCACGTGAGCTGTGAACTTGAAAACTAACACTACATGACATCACAAGGCAGAACAGAGCATTTTGAGCTTTGGAGATGTAGACAGACTAATAATAAAGTGTTGCTCAAACATGTGTGAATGAAACGAAACAACTCCAGGTCTGTTTTTGAGGAGGTAACAATATTCTAACATGACTTAAAGCTCACGAGAGACAATTTTAGATAGTATGGGATGTTTAAAATGAACTATTCAATGTCATTGTTATAACAAAAAAGTCAATTAATGCTGTGATTTTTCCTGACATGCACTGTCATTGACACGTAGACTGAAATCTGAACTGACAAACTAACACAAGAGTCACATTTCAGAACATTTGCACAGATCTAAACTACAAAATTCGACAGGAGATTTTGTTTGTGGAGATAATTATGGTACTTCAGAATTGCAGTCTTTGCGATTTTCCAATTGTGTTCATTCAATTGAGAGTTAAAGGTGCACCGTGTAACTTTTTTCTGGTGGAGGGTCTGTCACCTGTCATCACTGTTTTGCCTGATTACTCCACAGTATGAGAATAAACTTATCACAGTCACAATGGAGACAAGTTAATGGTCACATCTATGGAGAAGCAAGCCTGCACGTGGTAAGAATTCATGTTTTTAAAAGGTATTTTTGAGCTATAAAACACCAGTAATTCAACAAATGCAAGGGAAATATGTTTAATGCCCTACTGTGGAACATTCCAGGCAAAGAAATAACATCAACACACAAGAAAGTAGCAGACCCACTGCCTTAGAAGTTGCAGAGTGCAGCTTTAATGATGATTAAAGTAGCTTTTTGATTCGTAATCTCACTGTCCTTTTATAATTACTGGGGAATACCCGTTTGCCAGAAGGCTCATATCATTTAGGTTTTGAATCATTATTAGAGGACAAATTATCCAGTAAATGTACCCGGCTGCGGTCTGACTTCACACCGCAGCGTTTTAACCCTCAACGTCACGTCTCCTCCGGACAATAAACCAGTTCTGGAGCGGTTTTGTTGTCGTGGTTAAATACAGCGAGTTAAAACACGCATTGTTCCCATGCTGTAGGCGACGAGCACACGAAAACTACCTGCAAAGTTCCACAAATGCATGTAAAATGGGACTAAACCAGGACTAGAGCAGGACTAAACCAGGACTACATCTAGAACTAACTGGGACCAAATCAGTACTAAAGCATGACTGAACCAGGCCTGGGGATTTCTAAAGGGGAGGCACAATCTGAAAAGCTTAGTGCACTAGAACCAGACTGAACCATGACTAGAACAGGACCAAACCAGGACCAAAGCAGGACCAAACTAAATCTACATCAAGTCCAATTCGAGACCTGCCAAAGTGAAAACTACGTACAAACTTCCACCAACACATGGGACTAAACCAGGACCAAACAAGGACCAAACCAAGACCAAACCAGGACCAAACCAAGACCAAACCAAGACCAAACCAGGACCAAACCAGGACTAAACCAGGACCAAACCAGGACTAGAACAGATCTAAACCAGGACCAAACCAGGACTAGAACAGAACTAAACCAGGACCAAACTTAGGACCAAACCAAGTCTACATCAAGTCCAACACATGGGAATAAACCAGGACCAAACTAGGACTAAACCAGAACTAAACCAGGACTAGAACAGAACCAAACCAAGTCTACACCAAGACTAAACCGGGACAAGTGTGAACACAGCCGAAGCGTGCAGAACCAGCAGGAGTTCGCGTGCGTAACCGCGTCTTCTCACCTGGGATATGGACATGTTCAGGTAGACGAAGAGCCCCGTGGTGGAGGCGATCTGCAGGACTACCACCACGATCACGACCATCGCCACCCACATTCGGGACGGTGATTCCCGGCGTGGCCTGGGAGGGGGCCCGCCCGTAGGGACCATCATGTAGGTGGTGGACTCGCTGCTCACGGATCTGAAATAATCCTGGTGCTGCTGCTGTTGAGCGCTCGGAGTGTGCGCCATGGCATTCCCGACGCATGAGCGAACCACGGCGAAACGAAAACCGAACCGACCAACTCCTCCGTCCGAGTCAACACTGTCCCCAATCACAGTAGCGTCTCCATGGAACGTAAAGTTGTCGCATTTGGGAGCGTCAGTGCGTAAAAGACACTGGAAAAAAGTTTTGGGTGTGAGGAGAGTTAACGAAGTTTGGCTCCGTCCATGGCTGCGGCGCTGTGAGGACTGGAGCTGCAGCGGGGGAGAGAGAGGAGGCAGCGGGAGGAGTGGAGCGCAGGGGGCCGGGTTAACCTCCTCATCACCCCGCGCAGGAGCAACCATGCGCCGCCTCCAGAGTTTATGAGCTCCGGGCGGGCGCACGGGACAGTGCAGAGGAGCAGAGGAGCGGAGGAGTCAAAACAATCACAGCTCACGAAGAAGCAATAAACACGAGGAGAGGGGAAACGACACGTTATCAGGAGCAAACTGCAGCAATAGCACCGAGGGAGAAAGAGAAAGGTCACGAGACTCTGGGTCAATTATTTATTTAAATCACTAGCGCCTATACACTTTTACATACACGTGGTAAACTTAAGAGAGGCCTATGCAACTTTTTGTAGGAGGAGTCGCCACATGCTTGTCTCCACGGAGAGGCATGACACTAAAGAGCCCATTGTTTTCTGATTTAGGTTAAAATCCTCTTTCCGCATCACAAACAGACCTGGAGTTGTGTTTTGTGTCATTCCCACACACATATTTAACACACAAACCGTTCATATTTAGGCTGAATTTTTCTCTCAAACTGAAAACACTCCACCTTATGATGTCTTGTGGTAATACAGGAATTGCTCCACTGTGTTTTTAACTTCAAACTAATAATAAAGCATTACTTCAAACGTGTGAATGAAACAAAAACAAAACACAACTCCAGGTATGTTTTTATTAGATATCAGCATTCTATTATGGCTTCTGTTATGGCCGGTATGTGGCCATACCGGCTTGTAAACACCTGATCCTGTGTAGATCTCAGAAGCTATGCAAGGCCGGGCCTGGTTAGTACTTGGATGGGAGAACACTGGGAAAATCAGGTGCCACAGTGAGGCGCCAGTGGGAATAACTGTCGTTGTGTCCTTGGCAAAACACTTCACCCACATTGCCTAGTATGAAAGTGGTGCGTGCATGAGTGATGGTGGTGGTCGGAGGGACCAATGGCGGTGATTGACACGGTAGCCGTGCTTCTGTCAGTCTGCCCTAGGGCAGCTGTGGCTACCATGATGTGTTACCATCACCAGGTACAGAGTGAATGAATAATGCTCTGTAAAGCATCTTTGTGACAAAAATGTCTGTGAAAAGCACTATATAAATGAAGACTTACTTACTATGGCTTAAAGTTCACAAGAGTCAAATTTGTATAATGTGGGACCTTTAAGCTTATCTATCTCAGTGGAGACAAGTATATGATGCCTCCTAGTCACGTTATAGGTCAGATCTGTGGAAAGGCAACCTCAGTCATACCAAGAATGTTTGTTTTTCAAAGTATTTCTGAGCTACAAAATAATAATGTTGTCTTGCATAGCACTTTCCAATTGCATGCATTATTCATTCTCTCCATACTACAGTCTGTGGTGATGAACTCTTACTGTAGCCACAGCTGCCTTGGGACAGACTGACAGAAGTGAGGATACCAATCTGCACCATTTGCCCTTTCGACCACCACAAGCACTCACACACACAAACACTCCACACTCACAGCAAAAAGTGGAACGTCAAATTGACTCTCACAGAATCAATTTGAACACTTTTTCTGGGTTTATATAAGTAACACTGGACCCAAATGCCTGTTTAACCCCAAAATCAAGAGTTATATTAACAGTAAATGGAGACAAGCAGGTGACTGACCCTCCAGCAGACAAGTTACACGGTGCATCTTTAAAGGTCCTATATTATGCAAAATTTGACTCTTGTGAGATTTAAGCCATGTTAGAATGTTTTTACCTCATCAAAAACAGACCTGGACTTGTGTTTTGTTTCATTCACACATGTTTGAATAATCCTTTATTATTAGTCTGTACATCTCCAAAGTTTAAAATACTTATATATTTCAAAACATTTGTACAGTCCAATCCGAGACCTGCTAAAGTGAAAACTACGTTGAAACTTCCACCAACACATGGGACTAAACCAGGACAAGAACAGGCCCAAATCAGGACCAAACCAGGACTAAACCAGGACTAGAACAGAACCAAACCAGGACCAAACCAAGTCTACATCAAGTCCCGTTCGAGACTTGCCAAAGCCAAAACTATGTTGAAACTTCCACCAACACATAGGAATAAACCAGGACAAGAACAGGACCAAACCAGGACCCAACCAGGACTAAACCAGGACTAGAACAGAACCAACCCAGGACCAAACCGGGACCAAACCAAGTCTACATCAAGTCCAATGCAAGACCTGCCAAAGCAAAAACTACTTACAAACTTCCACCAACACATGGGAATAAACCAGGACAAGAACAGGACCAAACCAGGATTAAACCAGGTCTAGAACAGAACCAAACAAGGACTAAACCAGGACTAAACCAGGACCAAACCTAGGACCAAACCAAGACTACATCAAGTCCAATCCAAGACCTGCCAAAGCAAAAACTACGCAGAAACTTCCATCAACACATGGGACTAAACTAGGACCAAACTAGGACCAAACAAGGACCAAACCAAAACTAAACCAGGACTAGAACAGAACCAAACCAGGACCAAACCGGGACCAAACCAAGTCTACATCAAGTCCAATCCGAGACCTGCCAAAGCGAAAACTACTTACAAACTTCCACCAACACATGGGAATAAACCAGGACAAGAACAGTACTAAACCAGGACTAAACCAGGGCTAAACCAGGACTAGAACAGAACCAAACCAGGATCAAACCAAGTCTACATCAAGTCCAATCCAAGACCTGCCAAAGTAAAACTGTAAAAACTTCCATCAACACATGGGACTAAACCAGGACAAGAACAGGACCAAACCAGGACTAGAACAGAACCAAACCAGAACCAAACTAGGCCAAACCAAGTCCACATCAAGTCCAATCCGAGACCTGCCAAAGTGGACACTATGTACAAACTTCCAACAACACATGGGACCAAACCAGGACCAAACCAGGACCAAACCAGGACTAAACCAGGACTAAACCAGGACTAAACCAGGACTAGAACAGAACCAAACCAGGACCAAACCGGGACCAAACCAAGTCTACACCAAGTCCAATCCGAGACCTGCCAAAGCGACACACCAACACATGGGACTAAACCAGGACCAAACCAGGACCAAACCAGGACTAAACCAGGACTAAACCAGGACTAGAACAAAACCAAACCAAGTCTACACCAAGACCAAAACGGGACAAGTGAGAACATAGCTGAAGCATTTTTCACCACAGCTACCATCTATTTTTAGTTCAGTAGAGACTGGAAATTCCAGAGCTGATATCCTCCAAATGATTCTTCTAAAGGTGTACGGAGCACTTCCTGTACTGCCACATGACATCATAAGGTGGAAGTGAGTGTTTTCTGTTTGAGAGAAGAACTCAGCCTAAATATGCAAGATTTGTGTGTTAAACATGTGTAAATGAAACAAAACACAACTCCGGGTCTGTTTGCGATGAGGAAACAACATTATAACAAAGATCAGAAAGTAGCGTAATACAGGCCCTTTAAAGGCAATACCACAAAGTACAATACAACGTTTTCCAGTGTTAGTACAATAACTGAGTGAGAGATTTTGATTTGTTGATTTTTAGGGCGAGAGTTTCAGCGCTCGTCTCTGTTTATTCAGTGTAAACCTTTAGAACGCCGCTGCCTCGTGTTTGCGTCGGCCATTTTAAACCCAAATATTTGCCCAGCGCACTTCAGCCACTGTTAAATATTTGAATTTGAGATTTCCAAAACATAACAGCGCAGTTCAGATGGACTGTCTGCACGCGACTGACCCAATAGTCAAAATGGGTGTTTGAAACGGTCTGTCTTGAAAGGAACAGATGCATAATTCACTCTGCATTAGGTTTAGACAGTGTGGTGCAGATAAGGCCACGGGATGAAGTATACTGGAAAAAATACTAAAAATGAACTTCAGTTAGAGCACAGTTACTTTACAAAGACCCATTGTTTTTTGTGTCTGCTATATGGTTTTAATCTAAGACACCCGTGGATCTTTATGTTATAATTTGGAAATTTTAAATCACAATATTCATCTAAAATGACTTAATAAAAGAAAAAAATCCACTGACTGCTGTGTTGGAAAAATGTGGAGCCCAGTGGGAGTGGATGATGCAAACGTTGTTGTTGGATGATGCAAACGTCATCACAACAAAGAGCCGACCCCTCTGATAGTGTCACGTCACTAGTGAACAGCTGATTTTTTTTTTTCATTTGTACCAAAAAGACTATGCAAACATCCCCAATCCTACCTGTATCACTGATCAAGAAAATAGAATAGGAGAATGAAGTAAGTACAGAGCAGTGGATGTGTACCGGTAGAGGTGAAAATGGAATATGAAGACTTGAAGACTTGAAGACAAGAACGCTTGCAGATAAAAATGACAAAATATTTTAAGTAAGTAAGTGTTTAACTGACCTTGACTATCAACTGTTCTTGGAGACCTGTAGCGTGTTTTGGGTTGATGGGGGAAACCGGAGCGCCCAGAGGAAGCCCATCCAGACACGGGGAGAAACATGAAAACTCCACACAGAAAGGCCCAGGCGACCCAGGGATCAAACCCAGAACCTTCTTGCTGTGAGGCATGAGTGCTAGCCAGTCAGCCATCATGCCACCATTTTGTCCGAAGTGCCTTTCGTTTAAATGGTGATGGAGTTTTTGAGGCTTAAAAAAGAAAAACTCTGAAGCCGCCCTCCAGAGTGGAAAAGGTTAATACACTCTGCTGTAGTGTTTCTGTCTACACTGCCCAAGACTCAAAACTCTGGTCAAATCTGCTCACATCATGTGCATGTTTACGTCACATACATACAGTACACAGACAAACATGTCGGATCATTTCCATGCATCAGACCTTCAAGCTGCTCTGGGAGCTCTAATAAACTTACAGGAGGCATCGCAACAAATGTACAGAATATGCACAGATACTATTAGTGAACAGAGAAGGATCTGCAATCACCTCTGTCAAATTCTGGATGCACCAGTTCGTCGCAGGCGAGCCAGGCGGAGACCTGGAGA